TCCTTATGTACTAACTCTTACTTCATTTAAATTCATAACTCATCCAGTGCGTATACGCCTCGGTCACTAAAATAATAGAAACTTTACCAACCATAAAAAGATCAATCTGATTTTGTACCTGGATATAAAGATTAATCTGTGAATATTTCTATGCGGTAACAGTATGCTTACGAAAGCTTGTAAGAGAGTAATTTACTACTATTAATGAACCTAAACATGAATACTTCGATTAAATCCAATCAAATAAACTATTATATTTAATCTATATTATCTCAAGATTAGTCAACTATTTATATTTCATGTTATTAAATATAATGCATATAAAAATTCAACGTTTATATGGTTATTATTAAATATTGTAAAAAAGTGCCAATTTGTTGCCATGGGAACTCACCCTATAGATTCAGGCTGAAATATACATACATTCATTGTAGTCTCAACGCATAAAATTTATATAAAGATGGTGATAATATTGAATAAAGAATACAAATTAAACAATAATAGATACAAATGCTATAAGGAAGTAGATAAAACTAAAAGATTGATCATTATTTAGAAGAACAAGATTTTGAAAACTATTGTTATTAGCACTCTACTTTTATATATGATCTTAACATGTAAGTAATAAATAAATAATGGATGGTGTAGATTAAAGGTTGGCCTATCTATATCTTGAAAAGATTATCAAATCACATGAACAAAATAACTATAGAATCTGAGTGAAATATCGGAGGCATATTTAAGCATACAAAATTGCACAGAAATTTCTCTTATAATGTAAGCATCTGTTAAGAAGGGTTTTAGAGAAAACCCACGGGAATCCTTAAAACGGTCTCCGGGCGGGCAATTCCGCGAGATATTTCTTTACTTTCAACTGATTTAAGAAAGTAGGTGTTGAATTAGTGACGTAAAAAATGATGACAATAATGTCAAATTATAATATAATTCAGTTGATATAATTATGAATCTGAATAGAAAGTAGAGAAAATATAGAGAAACTTAGGTACGATAGTTTTTATTACAAAGTTGAATACCACTTAGATACTATTATTATCAAGTATCCAGCTCACAGGCGCCTCTTTGATTAATTAAGCTTGTTAATAATATTTACTATAGGGAGTATTAAATTACGCAGTACGAGTATACTACACTATTCAAACTCAGATTAATAATTATATGATAATATTTTATATTATTCAAGGAACATACATATACATTCAATCCAAGCTAGGTAAATCTAAGTATAACAGATACATTTTATTTTACTGGTGTATTTCAAAGCGCAATGCACATAAGTTGCCAATATTTTTATTACAATCAAATTCATCTCGATTGTTCTCGAAAGCTTTAATGAAACAGTAAAATAATGTTTTTATCATACCGCTGACAAAAGTTGTTATTGTTTGCGGAATAATAACAAATGCGGGCTGTTCACACAAGTTTTAATACCAGACACAAAGAATACGAGTATGACAGTTATTGAGAGGATACAGTAATTCAATTATGAGGTTTCGACATGCACAAAATTGAAACTGGCAGTTGTATAGGGTGTACCGTAATAGGCGTCCCACAATTTGCCGACCATGCACAATTTTAGATGAAATCTGGTGACAAATTGAACCTTTTCTCGATGTTCGTTGTCAAATCAATTTGACACACGTGAAAGGATATTACAATCATATAAACCAATATATTATTTTTTTATTGACTACGATCTTTATAAGTGAAAGTCTTGTATTATGAATGGAATTAATTTTCTTTTCTTTTTAAAGAATAACAATGCTTGAAAAGTGTAACTGTAGAAAATATATATCAATAAATTTCTAGCCGTACATTATTAAAGTCGATGATATGAAAATTTAACACTAATTAGAATAACCTCAAATTCTCGACAAATTTCGTTGTCGATTAAATAAGTAATCAAGGCGAATGAGAGCGGGCTTATGCCGCATAATCTTTGCGAGAGCAAATTAAATTTAACATCATCTAAGCTGAGACTACCTATGTAATCTTTAATCAGAAGCGGCCGTTAAGTCTCTGGCGCACCTCAACATTCATCGCTTATTCACGGGAACCATTCTTATAATGAAATTTCCCCTTTAATAGTCCACGGAATTGAGACAGGGTGAAACTGCGAAATCTTTGCTAATGGTGCGTAACCACGTAACCTAATGTTAAGCGGGGAACGAGGGGAACGCACTCGGCCGTAGCGACATGGAGCAAGTTGCGCACACTCACCTGTGCGATTAAATTCTGCGTAAAGCGATCTGGAGGGCCGTGATACGTGCCGCACGGAACGCAACAAAAACAGCTTCGCTGGAAAAGAAATGAAATTAAAGAGATTACGTTTCACATTTAATGTATACCGGATTTACGAAATGCCAAGGTTTCCCTTAGTGTTGATTTTTCATTCCACATGGTAATTATGTGGAATGAAAAATCAACACTAAAATTATTAAAAATTATTTAATGTTTTATGACTACATAAATAACTTCTTTACTTTTGTTGTTATCTTAACTTATTGTTATTGCATAGGGACTAGCTGACTTCTGTGAGTAAAATCGATTTTTTACGTTAACCCAATAACTACTTTAGAGAGAATGCGTGAGTAGGTTGGTAAATTGTTTCATTGCAATTATAATCAAGCTTGCCCTAATGATAGAACTCTGGCGGGTGAAGACGAAAGGTCAAAAATCTATACTTAGATTAGTATGAAATCAAGTCAATTATATTGGCTCGAATCCACCAGAATTAGTGACAGAGTTTTCCAACTGGTATCAAGTAGAGTTAGACCTGAAAGAAGAATCGCTTCCAATTATACGAAAGTGATAAAACACTAATTAAACTTATTATTATCGTATACCAAAATAATGTAACACATTGAGAAAATAATAGGATTTTTACTACACAAAAGCAGAAGTCATAGGTATTATGAAATACTTAAATTAAAAACTGTATATTGTAAATATTATGGATGATTCAAAACAAAGTTTTTTCAGTGATTACCATATTTTTGTATTCCCTGAAGTAATACATATATAAGATTTTCAAAATAAGATCAATTATATATTAATTTTATCAAGCAAATAATGTCTAACTACGAGATCAATTGGAAGATGTAGTTTGCTCAATTGAATTGAATCAAATTAATTGAGTACGTGCTGAGTAGTTTGGTACACATAACAAGGTGCCTAAATTGATACAGCAGTAATTATCCTGTATTAATTAGATATGCAACCAAATTACCTGCGTACATGATTTATTTGAGAACAAATGGTGTCAATTATATACTAATTAGATACTCGATTAACGGGTATAACGGGTATTATTACATCAAAGGATATAATTTATGACAATGCATAATCTAAGCATGATAATCACAATGAAGAGTGTTAATAGGTATGCCAAATCGATTGAGAGTTGGTATAATAAAGCTTGTATGTATACAAACATAATAGTTTTTGTTTTAGTCAAAAATACCCATTAGTTTTGATTTTATAGGCATTTAAACTTACGATAAATTTCGAGTCCCGCTAATAGTCACGTGACATGTGACGTCATTTTACAACGCTCCGCTCCGCTTAGTAGCGAGGTGCAGAGTTTGTGCAGTATTTTGTTTTGTTTTCATCCGCATTACGTTAATATTCTATAAATGAAATGGATGAAGGAATCGAAAAAGGGCAATCGGATGATCTGCCTAAAATAGATGCACTAATGGTTGCCCATTATTTATCAACAAATAGTGATTTCGTTGCCGCCGAAATGCGAGGAATAAAAATGCAAAGGTAAGTTAACTTTTCTTGCTATTTAGAAAATTAATTATCTGTTTTAAAGTGTTTTGTTAAAAAAAATTACCCAACTGATGTCGTATTGCAAGTATTGCAACTCAAATAGGCAGAAGTACCAAACCTTTTAAGTATTACATTATAGACAACAAATGTGTGTTAGAGTTTTATGTCTATAGGTACGTATGTACATATGTGAATATAGGTACCTCTTTTAGTAAATTTAACTAAACACATATTTTAATTTATTGCAAATGTAGTGGGTTGAACAGATGTACTAAACCTTTTTTTAATTTTGTTTTGTCTTATTAATAGGCCGTTTTATTTATTTTTATTTGTAACTTATTCCAGGTCGGCAAGAGACAGCTTTGGAGATGATGCTATCGGTTAAATACAAGTAAAAAGAGCAAGTGATGTTTGTACGGTCAAATGTAAAATCACGCGCGAACACCGCGTACGTACCACACGTTATCGTTGCAATTTAGAATGTAATGAAAAGGACCAAGAAGTTTTAAACGTAACTTGCGAAGATTGTGCCGCCAACAGAGGTTGTAAACGTACTATAGCATTTTTAATGTGGCTACATCGTCGAAGAGAGGACTCAACGACTGTTATCAAATTTGTTGCATTTTTTTGTGGTTATAATAAAAATAACTATTACTTTGGTGGTTGTATTTGTACATTTCGACACAACACATGATTTCCTAGTATTTAGTTTCGTTATTTTTGAAGGTATTTATAATTTCTAATGAGACGTAAGACGACTCCGTGCTGTAGTAAAACGTCAGATCATTCTCGAACTGTTTTTATTTAATGAGGTAATTCTATATACTAAAGCAATACAAACCGTGCAACATACCCACATAAATTAATATTATAAAATTATTACTACATGTATCCCTTAAAGTAATAACGTAATATATTCATGAATAAGCACTATTTCTAAATCTGAAATAGGTTATTAATATTATTTTATACATATATATATATTCAACATGCCACTTTCAAGATTCTAATATCGTAATAAATATTATCTATAACACTCACATACAGGTGATATATGTATACTTACAATACAACTAAGCAATTCATTTTTTATATCATTGAACTTTTAGAATAACACTTTTAAATAATCTTATAATTTTAAGCAACACTGAATCATCGTAATTTATTGTATATGTATTAAAATTTTAATTCCAATACTTACTACTTAATTATACATTTTTTTTTATTTCATGCTTAGCTACGGCTACCGCCTGTCTGGGGGTACGCTTCTGGTTTTTACAATTAGACAAATGGTTTTTTACAAGATCTTGTTCTGTATTTGCTGTATTTTTATCTACCTTTTGATATGAATAACATTCGTCACCCTCACTCTCCGCACTTGACCATCTTTCCTCGTCTCCTTCTAGATTATCACTTTTGCCCAGTTCAGTTTTTGCAACCTGTATCAGGTGTCGCCTATTTCGCCTGTAACGCCTACCCGAGTCATCACTAACAAAATACGATCGCGGTTGTGATGATCGTGCATCCACTCGTGCCCTTTTTCGGTCGTTTCCGTATCCATCTATCATTATAACAGATTCCCCCGGCCGTAATTCGGGTAAATCGCGTGCATGTTTGTCGTAGTACTGTTTATTATTATTCTGCTTACTTATAATAGTTTTATATTGATTCGTATTATCACGAAACGGATACAACTTACAAATGTGCGACGGTAACCTGGTATTTAGCCTTCGTCCCATTAATAATTGTGATGGAGCGTCTATACCATCTCGTGGAGTCGCTCTAAAATTAAGAAGACCCAAATAAAAATCTGTACCCGACTTCATGGATTTAATGAGAATATTTTTAATAATCTGTACACTACGTTCACTACGACCGTTCGATTGAGGATAATTAGGTGAAGTAGTAGTGTGGTCGAAATCCCAACTTTCACTAAACATTTTGAATTCTTTTGAAGCATACGCCGGACCGTTATCAGTTACGAGTTCCTGCGGTATCCCGTGCCTAGAGAAGTGATCTTTCATTGCGAGAATTACCGCTTTACTATTGATACTAGTCAGCGGACTTACTTCTATGAAGTTTGAAAAATAATCGACGAGTAAAAGAAAATATTTTTTACCGCATTGGAATAAGTCTGAGCCGACTTTGGCCCAGGGCAGGTCCGGTATGTTGTGCGGCACGAGCGGCTCCCGCGGCGGGCGGTGGGCGCGCTCGACGCACGCCGCGCACCGGCGCACGGCGCGCTCCACGTCGCGAGACATGCCCGGCCAAAACATCACGTCGCGCGCGTGCCGCTTGCACCGGTCGATTCCCATGTGACCGTCGTGCACCCGCTGAATCATTTCCGTGCGCAAACGACGCGGTATATACACCAGGTTGTCTTTAAAAATTATACCGTCTATATATTCGAAGCTTTCGTTGTATGACCACTGACTACGAACTAGTTCGTCTACATCAAATTTATTACTCGGCCATCCCCTCATTATGTATCGTATTATTGACTTACATTCATCATCTTTCTCAGTAGCATCGCGCACAGCTCTTATTTTACTGTCACTGAATCGAATATTTTGTATTAAAAAACAAGACTGTTCTGTTATTTCGTCTGATATATGATCTTTCATTAATTCGCTTAACGGCGCTCGCGACAATGCATCGGCGATATGCATATATTTGCCCGGTTTATAAATGACTTTAAAATTATATGCTTGTGCGCGAAGCATCATCCGTTGTAACCGAGCCGGAACAGAATTCAAAGATTTATTAAATAAGGCTTCTAAAGGTTTGTGATCTGTTTCGACTACTACATTTTTTCTGCCAAAAATATATTGGTGAAACCGTTCTAAAGCATATACTATCGCCAACAACTCTTTTTCTATCTGTGCATAGCGACTCTGTGTTTCGGTGAGCGTTGAGGAGGCGAACTCGACCGGACGGCCTCCCTGAAGCAACACTGCGCCGAGCGCGCACGAACTTGCGTCCACTGATAACACGACCGGTTCTGTCAACGAGTATAAAGCTAGCACAGGCGCACCGCACACTAATTCTTTTAATCGCTGTACAGCCGCGTCGTGTATGGAGTCCCACTGCCATACTGTGTCTTTTTTTAATAATTGACGTAACGGGGGGGCTACCTGAGAATAATTAGGTATAAATTTTGAAAGATAATTTATCATTCCAAGAAAACGTTCTAATGACTTTCGATCCTGTGGCTTAGGCATGTCCTTAATTGCTTTTAACTTATTATTGTCTACATGCATACCTTCTGAATTAAACTTGTGTCCTAAGTAAGTAACTTGTGGTACACAGAATTCACATTTAGCTATGTTAAATTTTATACCAACTTGACGTGCCCTATCTAGTAACATCTTTAACCGTTCATCATGCTGTGTCTTATCAGATCCCCAGACTATAATGTCATCTACGAATGAGTCCACGCCTACGAGGTCCTCTAAGAGCTCCCGTACTTTTGCATGAAACACTTCCGAAGCGCAGTTGATACCATACGGTAAACGCAAAATTGGTATCTGCCAAAAGGCGTTCCAAACGTACATAGGTCTGCGCTTCGGTTATCTAGCTGAACCATCCAGAAACCAGAACGAGCATCCAGTTTACTAAAAAATCGTGCTCCTTTCAATTTCGCAGCTATCTCTGTAACAGTCGGAAGGGGATAATGCGCGCGGTGTACTACGCGGTTTAGTGATCGAGGATCTAGGCACAAGCGAATGCTGCCATCTTTTTTCGCCACTACAACTATAGCATTCACCCACGGTGTCGGATGTGCTACCTTTCTAATCACCCCCAGCTTCTCCATTCGTTCTAATTCTAAAAATAATTTATCCCTTACACCTAAAGGTATTTTTCTCACTGGACACACTACTGGTTGTGCTCCTATTTCTGTGATAATACTGTACTTACCTGGTAACTTCCCTACACCTTGAAAAAGATCATCATAATCGTCTATATTTATGGCAAATATTCGTCTTACTAAACCTAATTCATCACAAGCATTTTTGCCCAATACACTCTGACAATTTTGATCAGAGATTATAAAATAAAGATTGTATTTACGATTTTTATAAATCCAGTCGATATAGCAAGACCCGATGATAGGAATATAATTACCACAAAAAGACTGTGCTTTAGTTTTGTCAGGAGACAGACTTGAAGTATTCAAACCCAAATTTAAAAAAGTATTAATTGACATGACGTTTAAATCCGACCCTGTGTCTAATTTGAATACTTGTTTACTATTATTACTAACTAATGACAAGGTTTCGTACCACTTACAGTTCTTATTGCCAGAATTTCCGTCCAGTGTAGAAACGTAATATAGTTCCTCGTCACTATCACTAGCACTTTCTTTTATATGATATATTTTATTTTTATAACGCTTACCCGGACACATCCGTTTGAAATGGCCTATTTCATGACACGAAAAACACTTAACACTTTTGGCGGAGCACTGTGAACCTCCTTGACAGCGCGCCGAACCACAGGCCGCACACCCGCGAGCCGCCGCCGCCGCGCCGTCCGCAACAGGCGCGCCCAGCCGCCCGCGGCCTCGCCTCGCCTGGCGGCCGCCGCGCGGGTACCTGCTGGCTCCCCATTGTTGCTCCGTTCGTGCTCCATATACTACGTCCACAGCCGACGATGTGCCCGCTTCGGTCCCACACTTGGCGTTTTCTATCTGACGTTGTTCCTCCGCGGTCATCTCACTAGCTTGACAGATTTTCACGGCACGTCCCAGGTCGAGATCGTCTTCTCTAAGTAGACGGTCACGCAGCTTGCTGTCGGTCACACCACACACGATTCGGTCACGTATGAGACCTTCCTCCAGATGTTCGAATTCACACGACTGCGTAAGAAGCTTCAGAGCGGTCACATACTCATCTATAGTTTCACCTCTCTCTTGGTTTCTCGTGAAAAATTTGAATCGAGCCATAGTGGTGTTCTTTTTCATACCAAAATGTTCGTTAAATTTATTTATGAGAATATCAAAGTCCTCCTGATTTTCATTTTTATCGTATTTAAATGTTGTGTATATGTCGTACCCGTCGGATCCAATCAAATTCACCAGTAAACTTGATTTGACATCCGTACTCTCTTTATAAACTCCAGAGGCCTTCATAAACACCATAAATTGTTTAGACCATTTTCGCCACGCGTCGGACCTTGCAGCCGGACCACCTTCAAGTACTAATTCCGATGGTGGTCGTGCGTGTTCCATGATTATTATAACACTTCACTTACTGAACTTATTTTTTACAAAATTACGCTTTAAAGTATAAAATATCAGTACTTTTAGAGTATAATAATGTTATTTTTCGTAAGAACACCGCTGTCACCATGTAGTAAAACGTCAGATCATTCTCGAACTGTTTTTATTTAATGAGGTAATTCTATATACTAAAGCAATACAAACCGTGCAACATACCCACATAAATTAATAATATAAAATTATTACTACACGTGCTGAGAGCGCGAGCGGACAGAGCGAGTGTTGTACTATGACGTCACACCGTCACACGAGTCCGCATCGCACGTTTACTTCTATAAATCAGAAACTAATTAGCGTATTGAAGTAATTCTTTCACTTATATTTTTTGTTTTTGACAGAGAATATGGAGAGCTAATATTCAAAATTAGTTAACATTCTTCATTATATTAAGTTGTATGAAATAGAGAAGAATAAAACAAATACTTGTGTGCAGTATAATAAATACAATTCCCATTATTAAGGATCACTAATTAAAATGCTGGTCATATCTTGATCAAACTGGCCATATATGGGACCACACAAAAAGCATTACTTTCAACTAAAATAAACTATAACAGCCTTACATGGATAAAAAAGTAGAAAAAAACAAAAATCACACATGGTAACAATCGAATTGCTCTCCTTTTCCATATTTTGAAGTCTTAGGTTAAAAAACTATCAGAAAAATGTATTCTGCGATAATGTAATGGGCAAATATTATGTTTCATCCATATTATTTAATCTTGTTAATATTGACAATGGCTGCGATTCCGGATTCAGTTTCACATTGCCTTTCTTGATATTTTCTATAACATACACAGAGCAATTACAAGGTGACTGTACAAATCTACATGAGTTCCTCTTTCTCACTTATTCATTATGCCAAAAATGTGCTGACTTTGCTTATATATTGTATTCCAGTCTGAAGACGAGTAATGGTAGCAAAATTACACGTACAATGACACAAGATCCTCATGTAACAAAGGTTGTCAACGCAAGAGTTATACCTCTGATAACGTAATGACGTGACTATGACCTATAAAAATATATTTAATGCATAACTTTATACATACTTATATAAATAAGCGAGTAACATAATTGTTTGCTATGAAATATTACCCGCATACAATACCAGAATTAAATACCGCGTAGAGTAACATAATTAATATGCACATGTATACAGATGTAAGATATACTTTTAAATCATATATTAATAAATAGCAAAATTATTTTTTTATTTTTTGAAGTCATTATCTACCTTAAAACTGACAATTGACAAACAAATCATATTTCTTACATACAAAAAATTAAATCTTTTCTCTATATGATATCAATACAAATAAAGAGTTTTTGTATGACGACAATGAAATAGACTGAACCTATATATAGAATACCATCTACATCCATAAATTAAAAAACCAAACTATGCATTTGCGAATACCCTCAATAAAGGCAGCAACATATGACCAACAGATACATACATAAATCAAAGAAAAGTGTCGACTCGAAGAAAAACCTCACGGAAGCCAATTTCCCGCTGGAAAGGAAATGGCTGCCGCGATGCCGCTGAGGCAAATCAGAGTCGACGTGTAGTGCCCTTAGTGTACAGCAATGAATACCAATGGCGTCTCCATCGGACGAGTCGAAATTAAGCCGTATTATGTTGTGAACCTTCCATGTTTACGTCAGCAGAAAATGTATTACCTACTCTGGTACTGGAATTTGTCTTAGTGTTAATATAGGCTGATACACATGATTCCACCCACATATGTTACATACATAGTATATAAATATATTACTATATAAAATGTGTTGTAACCGATTTACTGCAATATATATATACATTAAAGTATTTGTATAGTGTATATGACTTACGGCGAGGTAATAAATGGTAACATATAATGTATATTTATTACCTTCACACTGGCAGGACTAATTTTAAATCTAAACTTAATATAGATTTAAATCCTATCCAGTTTTGAACTATACTATTGTTTATTGTTTTAAAAATACTAAATCGAATAAACCGGTGGCTATATAGGTCTGTTTAAATTTCTGTGTAATTAATACTTGTATATAGCTCAAGAGTATAAAATAGGAGTAACTGCGAAATGACGCAATATCTCTAGATCATAATTAAATTAATTTCATTAAAAGTTAAAATAGTCATAGAGTCATCATATGTAAAAAGTTTTGTACATAAAATTTTTTTCATATGAAAATCATAATATATTTATTATAATGTATGCATATGCCATAGACTTGAAAAACATTACCTTACTTTTTAAGTAGTTGGGGGAAAAAACATTAGGGTATAACGAAAAAAACATATTGAGTCTGTACAAACAACGTACATATTTGTACCCCATCTGGCATCCAAACGTGAAATATGACGCACGGACAATCTTTCTCGCATTTTTTCAGTGCCGACACACGAAACGTACCTATGTGATATTGTTTGTACTTCTGTATGTACTAAATGAAAAACAAAAATAGTGATTATACAATATATTACTCAAAATAGTTAGTAACCGTCGTCTGCATACATAAAAGGCAGCAAGGACATGTAACTCGATAATAGAATAGAAACACATGTTCTACACGTATGTATGTATGTAATACACGTGAGTATTAACTCATGTGTACATGTGTTTCTATTCCGAAAAAACTAAAATACTCGGTACTCTGTAATTACAGTGCTATATTTGAACCTTTAAGCTAAAATACAGTAGGCGGCTTGGTAGCCGCTTTATATGTCTATGGTCTAAAATTTAATGTATATCTTTAGTTATACACATTTATCACGACATAAAATAAAGAAACAATAAATACACCTGAACAATTAACATAGATAATACACCCAGGCCGATACAAATAAACATACTCATGAAAACAAATGTTTACACCGGGTGAGGAATCGAACCCGCGACCATCACATTTTACCACTGAGGCCGTCGTATAATTATTACAAGTTTACTACCTACTCTGGTTGTTTACTATATTGTCTACATATTTGTCTACAGTCTGTATGATAAATTATTAGAATTCTAAACTGACCTTTTCTTTTTGAAACTTTCACAATGTTTAATGCTGTCACGAAAAATGACAGCATTAAACATATGTAAATTAGAGGCGTCTATTATACTATTGGTTTTCTGTTTGAACAACAACAAACAATAATTTCCGTCAAAGAATTATCAAAATTTTATATTTACTACTACTATAGCTCCTTTGTATTTGTATTTCTATTAAATATATATAACTTTCCAGAAGATATAAAAATATTTTTAATATAATCTGTAAGAAGTTTCCAAACAAAACGTGTATAATAAATAAGCTAAAAAAATATACATTAAAGATTGCTTTAAAATGAGCGGTGATTATTAACTGTGCGTAACCACTGAGCTTAGTTATGACTTAGACCACCTTTGATGCTCTTTGAGTAGCCTTAGTCAGTAGTAATTAATTTTTAGTTGAATTCAGAACTAAATTGTGGTTATTTCAGCATAGCTTGGGCTTCCACAAAGTTAGGGGACAAAATGGTTTAAATTATCTCATTTATTCCAAACAAAATAGATCCTTACATTGTCCAACACATTTAATAATTAAATTTGGATATATATTTTTATTATACTCTATTCCACATTGAAGATGTCATTGTTTCGATTAATTATAATAATAGCAACCCAGGACAATTCACACTATCAGAAATATGTATCTACTATTTTCTGATAGTGTGAATTGTCCTGTTCTTTTTTATTATTATAAACGGAAAATAACCATACAATAAGTATTACGAGTTTACTCGAGTATACAAAAAAGCTTAATCTCAGTTAGGTAACATACCTGACTGAGATTAAGCTTTAGATTAAATCAAATGGTTTTGCTATTAATTTGCAAATTAATAAATAAAATCATATTCTACAGACTAAGATTACAGAAGTTCTAAATTATTTTGTGTCTTTTCAAAATATTTTGCATATAATTCTCCCCAGATTCTATTGAGGGTTTTATGTGAATTAATATTTTGCTCAAGCAGGTGCTGCTGTGTATAACTTTGTAATTAGGTTAAAACTTTTTCATCCAACTGCTACCTTCCTTCCGTTTATAGATCCCTTCAGAAAATTTGTATGCATAAGATATGTGCCGAGTTTCGATGTGATGTGTCGTTGTGTTCGGAAACGACTATAATCTCGACACGTATCAAGTTGGCATCGTAAAATGTTGAGAAGTCTGCTCTTTTGAATATCGAAAGAAAAACGGTAGGCGTTGTGTTACTTTTCAAAATTTTATTGTTACAACGTACAGTATTAGCGTAGAAGACACACTACCTATTGGTATGTATATAACTTTTTTATTACCAGCACGTTTGTACAAAATACACACATTATTGTTTTTGTCCAAGAGCACTCCAATAACCGAATTCATACCTTCAATTTAAAGTAGATACTGATTTCCCCCAAGTAAGCAAGAAAAATCTCATTGTTTTCGAAAAATGCACGTTCAACCTTTTTTTGTGTATTTAAGTTCATTAACAACTGATGAGCTCAATATTGGAAAAGATTACTTGTACAATTTCAGGGTACAGAGAACGGCTAAATCTACTATTGTTCTTAGAAATTAAACCACTGAATTATAATTTAAGCTTTGTAATCATACTAAATTTAGCTTTATAATCATTAGGCAATTACAGACTAAAATCAAATAATATTTAATTATGGTAGATTATTCCCAACGAAGTTCAGGAGGCGTGTCTTACTAGGACTAAATTATGTATGTTTAACTTACATTGTTGTGCTACCGACTTTATTTTTGAAATCAATAAGGTTCCTTCACTGGATCCCATGATTGAATTTGGTTGTGTTGTAATAAAAATATAAACTAATACTAAAATATTACATGTAACTGTAATAATAACTTTTTAAAAATCGATTATTGTAATACGATCAAGTATGTAACACTGAGATTTT